TGTGATGATTACTACTTGAAATATCAAAAGCTGAAAATTAATTAATTATGCTAATTAGGTAATTAATATATACTGATATTACCATAAAAACTATCAGGTTTGTGCAGTGTCCTATGACATCTATGTACCAAGTTTTATTGAAATGTGATGATTAGTGCTTGAGATATCAGTGGAAAAGCCGAAAATTGATTAATCATTATGCAAATTAGATAATTAATAATGCACAAATTTGTACCCAAAACTAATCAAACCTGCGCATTGGTTTGGAGCATCTGTGTGCCAAGTTTTATCAAAATCCAATGAGTGGTTCTTTAGATATCAGTGGAACAGTCATGGAACAGCTAAAAATCAGCTAAATATCATGCAAATTAGGTAATTAATATGCATGGATTTTTACCAAAACCTAATCAAATCTGCGCATTGGCCCAGAGCATCTATGCACCAAGTTTCATCAAAAACTGATGTATGGTTCTTGAGATATCAGTGGAACAGACGGACACACACATACACACACAAACATACAGACACACTAACTGCAAAGACTCCCTTTTTGTGCTTCGCACACGGGAGTCAAAAATTATGGTCACAGAACTATGATAATTTTTGAACCATTTACTATTGGTTCATATGGTAAAAATGTTTTGTAATAACTCAAAATTTCGTGATTTTACAATTATTAAAATCATGTAATATTTACAATAAATATAAAATTTATTATATGAAATTAAAACATGTGAGCTGAATGAACAATACATGTGTACAGACAGTGAAAACAATGATCAGTAACATTTGGAGGCAATTTAGTGTCATAGTCGTCTTAGGTTTTCTTTGTATTCAACACAATGTGTTTTACATCCATAAAATACCCAAACAAATGTTTGCTTATAGAAGTATATGGCATATAGGTTGATGCGTTGCGATTATGGGTTTGAACTCAGGCGAGACATTCCTAGTTGAAAGGCTGATGTCATAGAAGACATAAATATGTTATTACAACACAGATGGGGGATATGCGGTTAATATCACATGATGACCATCGCCTTTTAAGCTTTTTACAATATCAGGAATAAGCTGAGAATTGTGCGAGTTACGTTGTTTTGAATGTCGTCATTGTTCATACTTGGTGTGTATAAATTAACTATTAAAAGTAAAGTATTATATTTATCATGATTTTGACTTTTGTCAGATTTTTTCAAACTTTTTGTATACAGGTACTTGTCTGATCATCATTCGTGTCTCAGTAGTGTTCATGCTACGCGAAGTATGGCTAAGATTTAAGCTAATCTCATATGTTTGCAAATATCGGATAGACCTAATTGCATTCACGCACGGCTAAGGAACCCCTAAACTTGTTAAGAATATAAAAAAATCTTCTGTCATTTTAACTGTGATTACTAGTACAGTAACTATTAAGGTATACTTGTTATACGATTATAAAACAATACCAAAGCAAATTCAGAAAGAGTATATTGCAGAATAACGGGAAGTAGCACAGAGTCTCATCGTCAGTTATTTTTTTCCCCAAAGAACAATCTCTTTATGTGTGTTCGCGTTGATTGTCATGTTGGAAATGGCATGCTGAAATGAATAGTTATGAATATACATAATAGTACATTTTCCAAATGAACATTGAATACAATGGCGTTTTGGCCACTTAGCCCAAGCGAAGCGTTCACACACACTTCGTTAGACAGTGCTGAGGTCTGGACCGGGTCATAAAAACGGGCCAGATTTAATCTATACTCAGAATTTCATACACGAAAGTTTACTTATCTTGCGTCATTAATAGTTAATAAACTAATACATGGCATGCATTTGATGAAAAAGAATGCCATGCTGTCAGTCTGTTCTATTAGTTGTTAAAGGTACGCATGTTCATAACGTACAGCGTTAATACAAATTGTTATGTTTTGTGTGTTCTTTTATGTTTCAATATCTCCGTGGTTGTAAACTGGAAGTCTTGCTTGCACGTGTCACAGTGGTAGATCTTTTGAAGGTTACTGATCTGACGTCCACTCGTCTCCTGGATAATTTCAGTGTCACTTGTATTTGCTGATGGTAAGACAGAAAAAGAAATTAATGAGAATGTCCACTTGAAAACTGATAAAATGAAAAAACACTGTAAAAATTTGAGATGCTAACAATAGATCTTTAGACACATACCACCCTCACGTTTCCCATTTTTCCCACTGAAATGGGCAGTTATTGATTTTTTTGCTGAAAATGATTACTTGTATTCAAGTAAATTTGGGATATTTCTCGTGTTGTAGCCACGCCCACCTAACCTGAAACAGTCGACTGTTTCCGGATTTCCGACTCTCGCCGAAAGTGCGCCACCAAATGACAAAATGTGAGAGGAAGTCATACCCCTGAACCGTAATAACACTGGTCATTCAGTATACTTTTAAACGATATACATTTTTCGGTCGTTGTTTTTTCTTTTTTTTTGTCTATTTTATTTTAGATGTTGTGTTGTGGGTAGTTGCAGTGAAACGTATAGTCATAGTGTAAGTATTCACATGTTTCTAATCGATCCGAAGGTGCGACATCAGTGGACGAAAGCCACTTAACCTCAGATTCTTTTTCTTGTGGAAAAACTGTCCTCGTCTATGAAAAAACAACTAGGTTTAAAGAGAAACACCGACAACGTAAACCTGGCGCAACACTTTTGAAAGAAATAGATTACGGACCAGCCAATGATCACCGAGGCGGATTTCAGAAGAGAGAGACGTCCGGCAAGTGTTTCAAATGAGTTGACTTTTTTTGCAATCCTGATTATCATTTTATAGAGACCATTTAGTCCCTGTTAAGTAAAAAGATAACAATAATATTGACAGTGGCATGAAAAAGAAGCGTTGGACAAACAGGAAATTACACAGCCTTACACACTGCTAATTGTTTTCATTTTCGAAGGCTAAAGCACAGGGACTGTGGCTAAAAGTTTCTGAATTGTTTGGTGATTGGTGTTGAATGTCGAATTCACACCTCTGTTCTTTTTTTACCTCCATGTTGCAGCTTGATCTGCGTAATAATTTATGAAATAAGAATCCGGGCTTGGTCAATGTGTTTCCACCAAGTAAAGTTTTAATATGATGTTATAATTATGACAAGAATCACGCCATGGATCACGCTAACTCAAATCCACTCTGAATTTATCTGTATGTGTGTCGATCTCGATTATTTTTGTTATCCAATTAAATGCCACTTTTAACGCACTTGCCCTCGTCATGACCCAACGCGTTCACCTATTTCAACAAAATGTCAATTTATTTCCACGCGGCTGTCATTTATTTAGTAACTGATTTGTCGTTTTTTCACTATAGTCTAATGTTTAGAATGTCAAAATATGTTCTCTTTTATTTTAGTTTTGAAAGTTTTACTCAGAT